AGAGAACACAGTGGCTTCCAGGTCCCAACCCTCAAAATGAGCCTGAAGGCCACTAGGTGTGTCACAGTCACTCCTTACAAACCGCCAACTCTACCGACCCTGCGTAGATTGCTTTTTGGACGCTTTCCTTACGGTTGTGCAATGTTCACAGCCAGTGTCTGTGATCTGAGGAATTCTCGTAGGGGAGAGGGAAGGCAGGGCCTGCTGGCCGTGAGGAAGGCCGGGTGCAGGGGTGCAAGCAGCCCGCAGCACGCGAGGCGGGCTCAGGCTGGCACTCTCCTCCTGCTCTGTGGAACAGAAGGGAGCCGAGCCCGGGTTATGCTACTTCCTGGTTAAAATGCTGGGACAAAGCCCAGGAGGGGGAGCTCTGCGGTGTTCTGCGCAATACCCACTTGGATGTGAATTCTCTGATTACCCTCAAGCATCCAAGCTAATCCAGGGCCATGGTGGGGTCCCAGAAAATCATGATGACACTAAAAAAAAAGAGTAACTGAAGGATTGGCTGGAGAACCAGTAAAAATGTTACGGGAAACAGAGTAAGAGAAAATTATCCACATTCCACCAGAAATAAAAGGCACCTTCTGAAGTGTTTCTAGCTGCTAAGGGATGGCAGCTTAATCATGCGGTTCTCTGTAGTGCACTGCCTGTTTTTTTACATCTTTGTGAATGCTGTAACCAGCATTGTTGAATGCCAACCCAACCATAATTTCCAGCCTCCTTCAGGCTGGCCCACCTCCTACTAGAGGAGCTGAAAATGCTAAACGTTCCCTTTGCAACTAGTCTGTGTAACTCAGTGTTGGCCTATGAGATATAATGGGATTCCTTCCAGGAAGGCCTTTCTGTACCCTCCCCCACAACCCCTGTCATGTGAGGATGTGATGCCTGGGGCTGTGGCAGCCCTCTTGTGATCAGATACCCCTTAGCCTGAAGCTGAAATTTATCAGTGGAAAGCTGAAAGCAGTTTTATTCCTTGAAGGCATCATTGAACTGGCAATCCAATCCTGATAGCACCTAGGATTGGAGTTCAGTAATAGGTTATTAGGTATAAACTACTGCTTGTTTTATGTTACCTGCAAAGAAAACACCTGACACAAATGGAAAAAAAAAGAAGAAAGGAAGAAAGGAAGAAAGAAAAAGGGAGAAAGAAAGAAAGAAAGAAAGAAAGAAAGAAAGGAAAGAAAGAAAGAAAAAATCTATGTGCATGGGTCCGAGTACCTTGATCCTTTGGCTTTACCTGCTCTCCACAATCTTCACCACTGAGGTTTGCAGACAGCAGTTGTTGAGGCTGGAGAGACACCGGCTGTTATAGCGTCTCTTGGTACACACCACATACGGCACAAACGCGCAAGAGAAATAGTGAACAATACTTGTGTTTGCACTGAGGGGTAGGATGCTGGCAAACAGCTGCACCTTCTCTCCCTGGACAGTGAGCGTGGAGGCGGAGCCAGAAAGGGTTTGCAGACCCTTGCTGAAGGGCATTAACCAGGTGTTCAGCTCTGAGCGCAGCTTTCTGGGCTTCCTGTGCTTTCATGTGAAGCTGACCTGAAGCTTCGGCAGCATGAACAACTGAAGAGGTTTACGGAAACATTAGCATGCCAGCAGAGCAGAAAAACAGTTCTGAACCGAGTTACGGCCTCATTAGCACCAGTGTATTCCAACCCCTCACTCCTTCCAGTGCTGGCGTACAGTTCTCTGCCCACTCGTGATCGGCGAAGAAGACGCGGTCTCTGATCGCCAGGCTCCGGCTGCCCACACTTGCGGGCTGCTGAGCTCCTCCAGTGCCTTGCGGCCGCTCCCTCCTGGGGAGATGCAGGATTCTGTGGGCACGGGGCTGGCAGGCTGCGCAGGCGAAGCTCTGCCCTGAAACACCGGAAGGTTCCATTCTAGAAAGAAACCTGTTTCTAGAAAAATGTGTTCTTTTAAAACAATTTTCTTATTTTTGGAAAAACCAAAGGCCCAAGGCAAAAGGGTTGAGGTTGCTCCCACACTCCAGAGGTGAAGTGGAGCGATCCCTGTGGCTCTCACGGAAGGCCACATGTGACAGGGACCCTCCTCTGCCCTGCCGAGGGATGCACCTGTGTCTTGCCCTTCCTGAATCTTAGTTTCAGAAGCTGAGGGAGGATTTCTGTTGCTCAGGCTATCGGATTTGGATTTCCACTACTCCCACTGGGGTCCTTACAGCTAGCTTTAAACCCTTGTGTACAAACTCATTTCCCATCACACAAGGAGTTAAAATAACATGCATGAGCTGCTAAAGAGTTATTTTGAATAAAAATTTATTTGGTAAATCAAGTATTTGCTTTCAAGTTTATTTTCTGCATAAATCCAAAGTTTCAGGTATTTGAGGTTTGTTTCTAGCTCACTAGCGCTCTCATTCTGCCCTGGGGTGGGACAGGTGAACTGCAGTGCAGGAGGTGTTCTGGCTTCTCACCTGGTCGGTCAGGTGCACAGCGAGCTGGGAGGGAGCCCGGGGAGCGCACTTGGCTGGCACACGTGAAGCCCCTGGTTCAAATCCCAGCACCCCCACCCAGAAAATGAGTGTTTTAGTCACACAGAATTCACTATTTATTTTAGATACAAATATTTTATATACTCTCAGACAATTCAATGTACACTGAATATTCACTTAGGTAATCAAAGGGTTAAGAAACGATTTGGTTTACAATTGAAGGAATGTTAAGTATACACTTGTAGAAAGATAAATATTTTCCAAATAAAATTCCAATAAAAGACTAAAAATTCTCAAATATGTTATATAATGAATAAATTATTTCCAGTTAACATGTTTTTTGCTTTAGTGCCAAAAAAAGTCACAACAACTTTGATAAACAAATGTTAAAGTCAGTTTTCTAGGTGAGTTCCAGTATGGAACACTGATTCAGAACGACACAGAGTCTGAGAACACAGGACCTGCGGGCGGAGGGAGAGAAAAGCTTGCCAAGGCTGACACGGGCAATCGACAGGCACAGGGTGGGAGGGGACGAGGAGGGCAATGACATCACTGGGTACCGCTACAGAGGGAAAAGCAACGTAAAAGTGGAGACAGAGATAAGCCAGGCACAGAGGCCTGTTCGCTATGGCTCCGGCCCTTTGTTTTTGTTTTGTTTTGTTTTTGTCTCTTTGAGACAGGGTCTCGCTATGCAGTTCAGGCTGGCCTTGAGCTCACTTCGTAGCCCAGGCTGGTCTCGAACTCACAATGCTCCTCCTGCCTCAGCCTCTTGGGTGCTGGGATTACAGGCGTGCGCCACCACGCCCGGCTGCGGCCCTTTGTTTTTAAAGTTCAGAGAGAATTTCCAGCCAGGCTTCTGGTTTGAGTCAAGCCTTTCTTCTTCAACTTGTGATTTCCCAACCAAGGTGCTTGGCATACTTGAGGGAAACATACACACACACACACACACACACACACACACACGCACACTCACTCAACCTTAGTTCTGCTATTAAGCTACAGAATAAAGCCAGCTAAGACAGTAAAACCAACACAGTAATAAAAACTGTTTCCAGTATGAACTACACACACCAACAGGTTTTGCTTATTAGTAAAATGGGGGGGAAGTGAAACTGTAGTTGAGATTTTTGAAACAAGAGAACTGGCAGGGGAAGAGCGAGAGGAAAGCAGCAAGCAGGGGAACCGGCAAGGATGAAGGTTAGCACGTGAGGAGGTGCCCAGCTCTGTCTATCTCGTGTTCTGCGTTAGCTCTGCGTGCCGCTCCTCCACCCAGGTGGAGCTGGGCACCTTTCAGGCCCAAGCTGGGTGAAAAGCGCCATGGCCTTGACACAGCCCCCTGCCTGAACTCCTGCCAGGCCCCTTCCACTTCACACTTCTGTTTCCCACAGGGGCAGCGCAGGGTGCGGTGACGCTGTGTAGGCACGGTGCACTCTGAGAGCCGCGCCAGGCAGCAGCGGGAAGGGTGAGATTGTATTTTCGGCTCAATGCCTTCCAAATATAATCCTTGGGGCTAAACAAGGGAACGCAATCCCAAGCACTCCTAAACTCCAAATGTGTGTGCCATCCATGCTTAAAAGGACAGGTCACTGTGCTCGAGGCCGAAAAGGGCTGTGCTATCCTGCAAAGAACTCGGTAGCAAAACCAAAACCCGAGTGAAATGACAGGATGACGTGGTCCACTGTCACCAGGAGAAATGATGCTCAGGGATGCTGGTAGCAGAACTAAGAATGGCACCCCACATATTTTACTTTAAACATATCTGATCAGGACATAAGGACACTTCACCTTTTGTTTTGTTTTTTTGTACCAGGAACCAAACGCAGGACCTTGTGCTTGCCAGGCAGATGCCTGTGCTGCTGAGCTATATCCCCAGCCACCTTCTGTTTTTAACATATATGAGGTTAGTGTTTACTTTGAAGCAGAATCGCATACAGTGGTTTCTCCTCTTGGGAACCTCTTTTGGAGGCATGACCCCGTAAGAGCATCTGACCTCCAAGCCCTTTCCCCAGCTATGACTAACATTGTGTGACACCCAGCAGTTATAAATGCGGCTTTACTGCAATGCCACTCAAGGAGCCCTGTAATATAAAAGGCGATTGCTGGATGTGCAACCTTATTGGAGACCTCGTGGTTAAGACAATTTTTGATCTACCTGAAAAATATTAAACTACGACATTTCACTTTGAAACTGCTACCAGTGAATACAGAAGTCTTTGATTCTTCTCTTGTATGGAGCGCAGAATCTTTGGCTTACACAAACGTCTTCTAAAGAGGCAATGACCTAATACTTCCTAAAACTTAGAAATTACATCCAAAGGGCCAAAGGTAACTTGTTTTTACCAACACGGCCGGACAGTGACAACGGGTAACTTCCTCTACCAAGCTGAGCGCGAGCTCTCTCCGTGTGTGTGTGTCCCTCTGCATGTGTGTGCGTGTGGGAAAGACAGAAAGGCCCTGCTGCTGCCATTGCTTCCAAATTGCTTATCTTCCCCACAAGCCAGTCAGTCACGGGAGATGGGAACGTGCTTCTCCAAAATAAACCAGGCTTGTCAAGGATTTATTTTTTAATTACGGAGGTAAGGTAGGTGTGAAGATGTCTTCAACCACCGCAGCAATCAGCGGAACAGAGGCTGGCACCGGGCACGGCTGCTGTGTCTGGAAAGCGTACAGCTGGAGCTGGTCACAGGCAAAGGCACGCTTTCTAACAGCACGAGCGTCATTATAAAAAAGTGTCCACCTCATCCAGACAGCTTAGACAGGGAAAGCGGAGTGCCTCCCTTGTATCACAGGCCAAGGAAGGCCCGAAGGAAGCAGACTTTGAACATAAACTCATGCCGAGAATGAGTAAGTTTTCTAGGTAGGTAGCGGCACAGGTGGAGTATTATTACCGTTTTTGCATGAGGGAAAGGGAAGAGAAAGAAGAGACGGAGAGAAGAAAGGAAATCTGGCGTTTAAGAGGTAAAGACCCCCGTTACAATTACAAGGCTTCATCAGGCAACAAGATTTTCTGGTTGAAGGCACATTAAAAGGAACTGGGGCATAACTTACTATGACAGTGGAGACCACGGAGGCGGAGGAGTACAGCTGTGTGGGGAACGAGCCACACCGGCACAAGAACGGACGGCAGAGCACCGGGCCCCAGGGGAAGAGGAGCCGGGCGCGGGCTGAGTTCCAGTGACTCTTCAGCAGTTAAAGTCACCGTGTCCTTTCCGCGGAGACTTCGAGCCCCCAGTGTGACAAATGAAACTGCAGAGAATTACGCCAACGTTTCTTGTTGGCTTGGCCACGTTCACTGGTCAGCAGAGTGGATCTTCGATGTCTGGTCCACGCCAGGTTATAAAGTCAGTGAGAGCAGCGATTAAGGAATTTCTGACCTCATTATCTCGGTTACATGCCCACAATTTTCATAAAAATAAATAATATTCATTAAGTCAAAATCAGGATTAAAATTTGAAATACGAAAAAAAGGGACAACAGTTTGGCATTCTTAAGGCAAAACATAGAAATCTCTTTAAATAGACCTTTTATTATACCCACAGGCGGTAAAATCCCAGAGCGACCGTTAGGCAGGTGAATATAGACCCTGTAAGGAAAAGGTAAGGGAGAGTGGTATTAGTTCTCCTAACAGCCGTGAGAAAGCCTTTTTTTCTCTTTATAATGTGTTAGGCATCATAAGAGGTGACAGGAAGTATAGGGTCATCTGTTTATTAAGAACACAATGACACCCATTCATCTATCCACTAAAAAGATTTTTTAAAACCGGGAAACTTTGCTCGATGATGTACCATATTCTATAAAACACCTGCCTATTAGAAAAGAAACAACACATCTTGAAACCATCATCTTTGAAGAAAATGTGCCCAGTATTCCAGAAAACTTCTCAGCACAAGTTTAGAATTACAAAAGTCCACTGTTCACACAGCATAAGTATGTGTATGACACAGGGGCACACGCTTTAACATAAAGGGCAAGATCTCACGGTAACATCCTGCTGTAACTTTAAAGTACTAATCTAAAATGTTAACGCTGACTTGAAATAATGGCTATCTTTTAAAAAACTATTTAAATCTTCACCCATCTCTTGGCTCAAAAATTGCAAGGGCAAAATAACTCCTTAAAAGTAGTGTCACCAACTGCTGGACATGGTGATGGCAAGCCCATTATTCTAGCACTCTGGAGAGGCTGAGGCAGGAGGATTGCAAGTCTGAGCCTAATTTGGGCAACTTAGCAAGATCCTATTTCCAAATAAAAAATAACGAAAGAACTGGGGATTTATCTCAGCAATGAACCAAAAGAAGAAAAAAAAAAACTGTCACCAGTTGAAGGAGAATGATCAGGACTCAACCACCTTGCATTTCATTCATAAAATATTCCTTGTATTGAATTTCAGTAAAATCCCAAATAACCACAGCCCATCAACAGTATCTTATCAAATGTATGATTCCTTCAACTGTAAACTATACCATCACTTTTATTTGCTACTAAGAAAGAAAAATGTCAATTGAAGTACGATACTCCATCTAACAGAATTTTTTTTTTCTGTTGTTTTGAAACAGGGTCTCACTATGTAGCCCAGGTTGGGCTCAAACTTCAGACGATTCTCCTGCTTCAGCCTCCTGAGTACTGGGGTGGAAAATGAAAAGGCTTTCCATTTAAGAGACATTCAAACATATACACCAAAGTGCTAGGCTCAAATAAATGCAGTATTTGTCACTCAAATAAATGCAGTATTTGTAAAGCCGATGTACCTCCTTTGCAGGGTGCTTTGAACACTTCCCCACAGAATGGCTTACCTGCTAGATACTTGATCGTGTCAAGCTTGTGCGCTTCGAGCATGGTCTTGAGGCCAGCGACCTCGGTTTCTATCTTCCTGTCTGTCTGTGTCAGGGCCCGATCCTGCTGGGCATGCTTGCAAAACACAGAAGTTCAGGCATGAAAGCGCTCTGGCTACTGTCGTCCTCTCTGCTCTCGATCCTTCCAGGCAGGGTGCACACGGTGCAGCTTGGGGTGGGCCCAGAAGCTGGGCTGCAGTCCCGTGAGGCCAGGTTGAACTGCCCAGGTCCCTTAAGGGGCCTCCAGGCCTGAGTTTCCTTACGTTTGGAAAAAGGAAACCAAACCAAACCCTCGGGTTCTGCCTTTACCCTGGCCACAAGGGCTACTGAGAGGATCAAAGGTAATAATCTATGAGAAAAAACCTCTGTAAGCTACAGGCTGTTCTACAAACGATGTGGCATTATATTATAAGGCCAGTTTATTATCAATGGCAATGAATTCGCCCCACCTCCCTAAACCCCCCTTAGGGAAACATATACAGTAAACTTAAAAAGAGTTATGTGGAGAACTGAATATAGCCTTAGATAATCTAAAAGCTTATCTTGATACTTGTTATGGTTTGTGTCTAGGTGTCCCCCCAAAGCCTCATGCAGCCATGGGTGTGGGCTTCTAGCGTTTGTGATTAATTCCCTGTCTAGTGCTGGGATTATGGGTATGAGTGCTACACCCACCCTAGGGTGGGTGACTTACATACAATGTAAGGGACAGAAAGAGTCTTCTGGGGCCAGGGATATAGCTGAGAGACCCAAGGGCCTGCTTGGCAAGCGCAAGGTCCTGAGTTCGACTTCCTGTACCAAAAAAAGTGTCTTCTCTTATGCTCCTCCCTTTTTGCTCTTGCTGCTTTTGTTGTCTTCCACCACCATGAACTGTTGTGCCCTGCCATGCGCCACTGTGCCTTGTGTCTAGCCAAGTATGGCCTGAAACCTCCACAAACTGTGAGCTAAATACACCTTTCCCTTTTTAACTTTGGGTGTTGAGTATTTTGTCTCAGCAATAAGAGAAAAGTAACCAAGATAATACTACTCTGGTTACATTTTTATAAGTTGTCTTCTTTTGCCATTTAAACATGAAGGGTTTTATTAGTATAAGGCTTAGCTGTCAAGGCTAGCCTTCGTGTCCTTCTAAAAAAAACAGTTAAACCAAAAACTACATATTTAATCCCCAATGGCAGTGAGTTTGGCTGATAAGGAGGTTATATAATTGTATTAATGCACAAAGAACCAGAATGCTGCACTAGGTATCCTAGAAAAAGCAAGCAGTTTCCTATGGTTACCAATTCAGGCAAAGAATAAGGAAATACATGCTTGGATGTGTAGAAAACTAATCCAGGGAAATATCCCAATATTGCAGAATTGTCTCATTCATACAGGCCTCTTCCAGGGTTCAGAGATCCCAGGGAACACACCCACAAGAACCGGAAGCAGGCATCTGCACACCCATGTTCATGACAGCGTTATTCACAACAGCCAAAAGGCGAAGCAACTCAAGTGCGCACTGGCGGAGATAAACCAGATGTGGGGTACGCGTATCACGCAGACTGCTCACCCTTGAAAGAGATCTGTCCCTTGCAACTACACTCGAAGACACTAGGATAAGTGAAGTGCGCCAGCCAGAAAGACAAACCCTAGGATCTACTTCCATGAGGTTATTTAGAATACCCAAATTCACAGAGGAAGAAGGTGGAATGGTGCTTGCCAGGGGCTGCAGGAGGAGGGAATGGGGGGGTTAAGGGCTTAAGGGAGACAGAGTTTCAATTCTGCAAAGCAAATGCTATTGAACCATATATATTTAAATGGTAATTCTTATGTTAACAGATATTATTATTATTACTATTATTATTTTTGTCTTTCTGAGACAGGGTCTTGCTCTGGAGTTCAAGCTGGCCTTGAGCTCACTTTGCAGCCCAGGCTGGTCTTAAACTTGCAATGATCCTCCTGCCTCAGTCTCCCAAGTGCTGCGATTACAGGCATGTGCCACCACACCCAGCTTAACAGATATTTTTCCATAATTGAAAGAAATGACAGGGAACCTGCATGTCGCCCTGTAACACAAAGGACAGCAACCAGGCTTGGGAGGAAGCAAGGAGGAACAACATGGCCAAGAAAGTCAAAGTCTCATTTCTTACCAATTCTACTATTTCTGTCCTCAGTTCCAGCAGCTTCCTTTCGTTCAGTGAATACTGAAACAAACGGGGAACACGGGTCAGGTCCTGGTCCGCTCCTCGCTTCTGCTGCCTTCTCCTTCCTGGGCCTCCCGAGAAACCACGGCAGGGACAGCAGCCCACTGCCCCCTCCACCTGTGACTGGGCGTCTCCCGCTGAGGCTCCCTGCCCCCACTCTGCCATGCGTCCCCTCTGCTATGTTTTCCTCTTCACCTCTCCGCTACGCTCTCTCCAGCTTCCTCCCGCTCTGAGAGCAGCGCTTCCTACAGGGCTGGGGTGGAGCTCTGCGGTACAGCACTTTCCTGGCATGTGCGGGGCTCTGGGTGCCATCCCCCGTCCTGGGGGTAAAGGAAGTTCTCAGTGCTCTTTGGGCCAATTTTTTTGAGGGGGTTGAGACAGGGTCTTGCTATGTAGTGCAGACTGGCCTTGAACTCACTTTGTAGACCAGGCTGGTTCTTGCAGTCCAGCAGTCCTCCTGCCTCAGGCTCCCTAGTGCTGGGATTACAGGCGCATGCCACCATGCCTGGCTCAGACCAATTTTGATAGATGCTGAGTCACATGCTTTTTGGCTTTAAGAGCATTGAAAGTGGTAGAGAATCAATGCAGTGCGGAAGCTACCTCATCATAAGCAGAAAGAAAACACACTACCACTAAGGCTTAGAGAAAAGAGAGGAACAATACACAGTTAGGAAAAAAGTAGCCGCAAGGAATATTGCTCCGTGACAGGGACGCTGTAGTATGATCGTGAAACACATCATACATGCAAGAAATGTACTAAACCATCACATGCTGGTCTTAATAATAACAAGTGCTCCCAGTGAGCACAGTCACAGTACAGCGTTACTAAAGGAGATGACAAGTTAACCTGCTTTCTTGCCTTTGGCTATTAATGACGGGGAAAGGGTTTGGAACGGCTCTGTTGACACTAAAATCAAAATCAGGCAATCAGTGGCAGGCATCGGGATTCAACTGAGCAAATGACAACCTGTGGTTTAAGTGATGTTCAAGATCTAAATTAACATGGTGAGAGAGGGAAAAGTTAATGCTTGGAAGCATCTAGAAAATTTCTATTTATAAAATGTTGCCCCGGGCTGGGCGAGGCAGTGCGTGCCTGTGATCCCACCACTTGGGAGGCTGAGGCAGGAGGATCGATGTGAGTTGGAGGCCAGACTGGGCTATGGAGAGTTTTCAAGGCCAGCCTGAACTACAGAGTGAGACCCTGTCCCTGCCCCCCATAAAAAGTGTCCCTGGGACTGTCAGGGGGCTACTGCAGTGCTTAGAAGTAAAAGCAAAACAAAAATCTTAAAAAAAAAAAAAACCCTAAACCCCAAATTAAAGACTGACTAGTCACAAAAGTGAAGAATGGTGCTCTCGCCAAGGTCAGTGCTTCACCCTACGAAGGCGCTATGCATCTGATCACCACCAGAGGACAGAGTAGAACGGGATTTTCTGCACACCTTTATATCTTCTTTGCTGGAACCTTGAGTCATCCATAAGGGAAAAGAAAAGCCTAAAATCTTTTTTTTAGCCTACGATTTTGACATTGCCACCATTTTATTTTATTTTATTTTTACCATTTTAAGAATAATATTTATTTGGCTCTAGTTCCCTGACCCCCAAACAGATTATATGCCACACAGCCTTTGAAACTGCTATAAATGCCAACAGTTAATTTTTCTTGCTTTTCTTTCTTTCTTTCTTTCTTTCTTTCTTTCTTTCTTTCTTTCTTTCTTTCTTTCTTTCTTTCTTTCTTTCTTTTTCTCTTTCT